CCACCGGCCTTTTTCCTTTTCTAAACATTTTCTAATTTAGTTTCTAAGGCAAACTTGTAAATTAAATATAAAATTGTGTAGTTAACTAAAAATTATAAAACCAATTTTGTTAGATTCCTAAAATCATGATCTCTCTGCTAGTATATTTTGTTCACATAGTTTTATAATATTCTTAGGAGTTATATAATTAATTTGAAATGTGTAATATTGTAAGATATAAAATTGTAGAAATTTTTGTGATGAATTGATGGTAGTGTTAGCTTTGAAAATTTTATAGTAGCTCCATAGTATTATTATGTGCCATCTGTAATTTTTGTAGCTTCAGAATAATTAGTTTCTGAGGTAACTAATGAGCCCTAGTTTATATATATAGTAAATAAAAGGAAATAAAGAAACACCTAGGGATTTTATAACTAAAACCTTGTGGGAAATTAGCGCCTAGTTCGACAACTTGGATACGTAGCCTAGTACGTTAATCGTCAGAGCTAGCTCGTTAGCTTGAGAGGCGTAATCGTATTTTAAAAGTTGTGATTGCCGTTGATTATTTACGTCCATGCGTTGTATCCACGTATTTCATGATAGGAGCGATGTTGGATCGTGGAGTCGTCCGAAGTAGCGGAAGCAGATGGTGACTTGATGATCATGACATCATGATGAAAATCTAACTTGGTTATATTTTTTTCAAGCAAGCCCTGGTGTATAACCCCTATTATTCCGCACTTTCATTTATACTTGTGCATTAAGTTTAAGGAGTTGAATGAAACCCACTTGCACATATATATCCTTATCCTATGAGTTTTACTAGTATAACAGGATCGTGTAGATTGCTATGATATAGGACTTCGGTAGAAGTCGAGTGATTGCATGTCACTCATGAGAGATAGGAAAGATATTATTATTGTTATTATATTATTATCACCTAGAATATATATATGAATGATAATTGGAGACCGGGTGGAATGGTACTTTGGATCTGGACTTGGTTAGGCATTCAAGCGAGGCTCGGATTGCACTTGTTCCACCTATGTCGGTTAAGGACCGGCCGTTGCATTAGATTCTAGTCAGGTCACAGACTTATTATCTTGAGCACATACTTATTTATGGGAGCAGGGAAGGCTCGTTGTTTTCTTGTTGTGGGTTCCAGCTCTTTCTGGACCGACTGATTGGAGGCGGGGATGATGAAGGTCTAAGCACCACACTGAGTTGGGGACTCAGGTGTGGGGGCTTAGAGTCCAAGTTTGGACGGGGACCTAGACCCCTTGATAGGAGAGTGGTGGGTTGGTCTTGCTTGTGCCTGGGGTACAAGGAGGGCGTGTGTTTTAGGGTATCCAGCTGGGCTACATTGATTCATGAATCGCCGTGAAATGCGGTACGACTTGTCCATAATCTAGCACCATAGTAAGAATTGGAATATGAAATATGGTAAAATAGTTCTGATTGCTTACCACCTACTTGAAAAGTAGTACATGTGCTTACATAGAATGGTTAGTTAATGAACTAATGATGACTGCTAATGAAATTGAATATAAGGATGCACGCTTAGTAATGCTTCCTGCAGATGCAATAAAACCACAAGCTAGATAGCCTTGCATATCCTTCGAGTCTTTTCTTTCCACCTGATGGGTAAGTCTTGGAGTACAATTGAGTACTCAGAATTTGTTCTACCCTGTTGTAGGTGACAGGAACATTTGGAGTTGACACTTGTGTGTGGAAACCTCCTGGTGGCTTAGTGAGGATTTCCTTAACGTTGCGGACATAGAGTTTATTTAAAACTTTCACCCAAAATATTTTATAATAGAAAAACTTATAACCTATTATGATGTATATAACGGATCATCATGTTAATGTTTAACTTGTCAATAAATTATTTTATTTCGCTGAAACTCTGATAACATGGTTATATTCTGCTGTTATAAACAATAATATTATACTCTGATGTTGCATGAAAAGTGATGTAAGAAATGGCTAAATTGTTGTAAGCTTTATTCTTCCATTTATGATTCTGTTGAAAAATGTGGATTTTCGGGTTCTCCCATGGGGCGTGCTCGACGAAACTGCGTAGTTTAGTGTCATCTCTTGGGTACTTAGTGTCTAATAGAAGGCAAGTACTACTGAGAGACATTAGATTAGGTGGTTCTGCCACAAAGACGACGGCGAGGACGGAGACGGAGACCTCGCCGGCATTAGGGTTCTGGCTTCTCTCGCTCCCACGCTCTCCCTCTCTTCTTCTCCATCTCCGGTGGGCATAGAAGGGGATTTGGGGGGAGGAAGGCCGGCCAGACGGCGGGGCTATTTAGGGGCCCTGGCTGGCGGTAGAGGCGGTTGGGCCAGGTTAGGGCGGAGGAGCTCCATGGCCGGAGCTCGCCGTAGAAGGAGGGGGCGGGGGAAGGAATGAAGAAGGTGGCCATAGCCTACGCTAGGGTTTCGTCGGAGCTCCGTGGCCGCGGAGCTCTAGAGAAACCCTAGTGCGCCGCGGTGGGGAGATGGGCAGCGGCGAGGGCGAGGGCGAGGGCGAGGGCGAGGGAGTTGCTGGCTAGGGTGGCGGGGGAGGTCGGCAGCGGACGTGGCGGGAGCATGAGCGTGAACGTAAGGAGGAAGACGACTGACGCGTAAGCAGAGCATTAGTCGTCTGGTGGCGCGACATACTCCTTTTTTTTTAACCAAAATGCATGAGCATGATGCGTTATTGTATCTGCATCGCCATGCATTTATTACCTAATGTATGCATTCAGAGGTTTATTTAGCATAGGTCAATATATACAATCAAACAAATGGTAAGACACAAAATTAAGTGCACCAGGGATTCAGGGCTAGCAAAAAAAAAAAAAAAACCCCTCAACGCCTCATGAACCGACTCGTGAATTTTGCTCGTAGTTTTTTATCAGTTGGCCGAGCCTGTGGATCGGTCTTTGCCTTTCAGACAAACCGAGCACAGAGCTTCCTGTTTTAGATTATTTTCTTGACTATATTATGTACTCTTATATCAGTACTAATATCGTGGTATGATTCTGATTTGGCCAAATGAACCTGTAGCTAGTAGTGATAGAAACCAACCCAAATCCATCTCTAGGTATTCCCTAGCTAATTCGCTGACACAAGTTGGTGACTCTTGTACTACATAACAAATTGAATTAGGACGCGTTTAGATCCAAAAATTTTTTAGGTTTCGGGTACTGTAGCACTTTAGTTTGTATTTGATAATTAATGTCTAATTATGGATTAATTATGTTCGAAAGTTTCGTCTCGCGATTTCTCACCCAACTGTGCAATTAGTTTTTTTTTCGTCTACATTTACTACTCCATGCATGTGCCGCAAAATTTGACGTGACACTTACTGCGTAAAAATTTTTGGTTTTTGGGGTGAACTAAACGGGGCCTTAGTAGAGGAAACAATCAAATTAATTGTTGCAAGGACGACGGGACGTCTTAGATGTCCATCACATCCACGTACAACAACAGCTGGAGCACCCATACAACCGATCGTTCACACGAGCGAGCTCACCTGATCGGGCAACCAATACACGAGCGAGCTCTTTCGAATACGAGGTTTCTTCTTCTTCTGTTTTCTGTGTGTGTGTTTTTTTGAAAAAGAATTGATTTATCTAAATTGCTGGATGATTTTTATGAAATCTCTGTGTTTTTTTAAAAGAAGTACACACAGGACGGCTCGAAGCATTGCAATGCATAAATGTGCATATAGGTAGTGGTCAAGTCGTGTCTCAATCATGGATCAGCTAGCTGCATTTTGCAATTGCATGTACCATACGGCATTGCCCGAGCAAACTATCAATGCAGCGTCGTCGTCCTTTGCTAGCAGCTAGAGTACACATCTCATGATTCTCACCCATCACGGTTCAGGGACCACGTACGCTTCTATTTCTTCCTTCAATTTAGTTTTTCTGTTACACTACTTTTTGATCCAATTTATGCGTCGTTTTGACTTTTCTAGATATACAAATAGCAAAAACTATATATCTAGAAAAGCCAAAGTCACCTATAGTTTAGGACCCCATTAAATTTGGTAGAATTTTACATTTGAAACCTATTTGAAAAAAAATGTTTCTGGGCTAAATTGTTGTGAGAAAAACAACATTCCTATTTGAAAAAAAGTGTTCTAAACAATCGAATATGCAGAGTTTTAACAGGGCCCGGTGCTAGTATACTAAATAAAATCAGATGACCGGTACTAATACTTTTTTTTTTCACATACGTACTAGGGACGATGGATATCTGAATGAGCGTGAGATGATCAACTTAATAGCGCTGAATTAATACACACACACACCAGCATTTAGTCGATAATTGACATCATATTAATTGTTTGGGCAGCCTGTCCAACTCTGTTTTTGACTTTTTGGAACTACAAATGACGGTTCCACTCAATTCCATCCAGTGACAGAAAATCCTGGCTTGACAGATTCTAAATCTCTCTTCACAATCTACGAGACAAAATCATAAAATTAGCATAATCTCATGCCCGTGTTATGTTAAAAAAAATATAAGAAACATCATCTGACTTTTTTTTTTGAGGGGAAAGAAAAAGCATCTGACTGAGGTCGGCCGGGCCTGTCTGGATCTCCCATCGTCATTTAATGGGCCAAATCCAAGTTTCCTCGCATCGTACCACCGACTTGTAATTGGGCCAGTCCAATGACCGAAAGTCGGTTGGGCCCCAAGTCGGTTCCTCGGTCTCCAACCGACCTCGTCAGGCATCATCATCTGCTTGGGCTCTCCCGCACACACTTTTCCAACCAAAATCTCATCATCAGATCAAAAATCAGATTCAGGGAGGGGAAGGCAAACCCCTAACTCCCGCCGGCCGCCGGGAGAGCGCGAGGAGGACCCTTCCTCCACCCGCCGCACGCCAAAGGTATACCTCTCTGAGTCTCTGCGTTCGATTTCCAACACTCATCGCATTGCCTCGCCCCACATCCCGAGATTAGATTACTTGTCCCGCTGATTCCGACCCGCCTTCCGCCGCCTCCGCAGCAGCTCCCCCCATGTCCAACCTCGGCGGCGGCGGCGCCGAGGCGCACGCGCGATTCAAGCAGTACGAGTACCGCGCCAACTCCAGCCTCGTGCTCACCACCGACTCCCGCCCGCGCGACACCCACGAGCCCACCGGCGAGCCCGAGACGCTCTGGGGCAGGATCGACCCGAGGTCCTTCGGCGACCGCGCCGTCCAGAACAAGCCGCCCGAGCTCGAGGAGAAGCTCTCCAAGGCGCGAACAAAAAAGTCCAAGCGCCGGGACGACGCGGCCGACCCCGCCGCCGCCGACCTCCCCGCCGCGACGCCAAGCGCAGGCGCCGCGACGCCTCCGCACAGGAGGTCTCCGTCCTCTCCCTCACCGACGACGCCGTCTACAAGCCCCAGACCAAGGAGACGCGCGCCGCCTACGAGGCCCTGCTCAGCCTCATCCAGCAGCAGCTCGGCGGCCAGCCCCTCGACGTCCTCGCCGGGGCCGCCGACGAGGTGCTCGCCACGCTCAAGAACGACAAGGTCAAGAACCCTGACAAGAAGAAGGACATTGAGCAGCTGCTCAACCCTATCCCCAGCCAGCTCTTTGACCAGCTCGTCTCCATCGGCAAGCTCATCACCGACTTTCATGATGCGGCGGCCGGCGATGCTGCCGGTGCGCCTTCTGCCGACGCCATGGACACCACCCTTGATGATGATGTTGGTGTTGCTGTCGAGTTTGAAGAAGATGAAGACGAGGAGAGTGATTTTGATCAGGTACCACTTTTATGCATATGTTTAATTAACTGACTGATCTTCCCATCCTACTACTTGGCTTTGACCCCAACATGTTTATTTACTTACCACCGGCACTGTGTGTTTGTGCCAACCAGGTGCAAGATGAGCTGGATGAGGATGATGAAGATGACGCAGCTCAGTTGAATGGTCCTGGAGGTATGCAGATGGGCGGTGAGTTAGACGACGACGACATGCAGAACGCCAACCAGGGGCTGGCCGTCAATGTTCAGGACATCGATGCTTACTGGCTCCAGAGGAAGATATCCCAGGCATATGGGGACGGTGACATTGACGCCCAGCAGAGCCAGAAGCTTGCCGAGGATATCTTGAAGATCATTGCTGAGGGCGATGACGGAGACGTCGAGAATCGCCTTGTCATGCTCTTGGACTATGAGAAGTTTGATCTCATCAAGTTGCTGCTATGCAACCGTCTCAAGATTGTTTGGTGTACCCGCTTAGCCAGGGCCGAAGATCAGGAACAGAGGAAGAAGATAGAGGAAGAGATGGCAAGTGACCCAAGCTTGGCTCCGATTTTGCAGCAGCTACATGCAACCAGAGCATCCGCGAAGGAGAGGCAGAAGAACCTGGAGAAAAGCATCAGGGATGAGACCAAGAGGCTCCTCAACAATGATGCTGCTGCCAGCGCTGATGGTGCCAGGGACCGCAGGGCAGCCGAGCGGGACATGGAGAGTGGATGGCTGAAAGGACAGAGGCAGCTGCTTGATCTTGAGAGCCTCTCGTTCCAGCAGGGCGGTCTCTTTATGGCTAACAAGAAATGTGAACTTCCTACTGGGTCGTTTAGAACCCCTCATAAGGGATATGAGGAGGTTCATGTGCCAGCACTGAAGGCTAAGCCCTATGAAACAGGGGAGAAGATTGTCAAGATATCTGATATGCCAGAGTTTGCACGGTCAGCTTTCGACGGGATGACACAGCTGAACAGAGTTCAGAGCAGGGTCTATGATACTGCTCTTTTCACACCAGACAACATCCTTCTCTGTGCTCCGACTGGTGCTGGCAAAACAAACGTGGCTGTGCTTACCATCCTTCAACAGATTGGTATGCATATGCCGGATGGAGAGTTTGACAATACCAAGTACAAAATTGTCTATGTGGCCCCGATGAAAGCATTGGTCGCTGAAATCGTTGGGAACTTGTCGAAGCGTCTGGCTGGTTACAATGTTACTGTTAGGGAGCTCAGTGGAGACCAGAACTTGACCAAGCAACAGATTGACGAAACACAGGTTATCGTCACGACACCTGAGAAATGGGATATTGTGACCAGGAAATCAGGGGACAGGACCTATACCCAAATGGTGAAGCTGTTAATCATTGATGAGATCCATCTGCTACATGATAACAGAGGGCCTGTTCTGGAAAGCATTGTTGCTAGGACAGTCAGGCAGATCGAGACTACCAAGGAGCATATTCGTCTGGTTGGGCTCTCTGCGACTCTACCAAACTACGAAGATGTTGCACTATTCTTGCGTGTTCCCAAAAAAAGCCTCTTCTACTTCGACAACAGTTACCGACCTTGCCCTCTTGCTCAGCAATACATTGGGATCACTGTGAGGAAGCCAGTACAGAGGATGCAGTTGATGAATGAGATCTGTTATGAGAAGGTTATGGCTGCCGCTGGTAAGCATCAAGTGCTTATATTTGTACACTCGAGGAAGGAGACAGCAAAAACTGCCAAAGCCATCAGAGACACGGCGTTGGCAAATGACACAGTCAGCCGCTTTCTGAAGAATGAGAGTGCAAGCCAAGAGATCCTTGGCACTCATGATGAACTTGTCAAAAGCAATGATCTTAAAGACCTCCTGCCGTATGGGTTTGCTATTCATCATGCTGGGATGGCAAGGGTTGACCGGGAGCTTGTCGAGGAACTTTTTGCTGACAAGCACATTCAAGTACTTGTATCCACTGCTACCCTTGCATGGGGTGTCAATTTGCCTGCGCATACTGTTATCATAAAGGGTACACAGATTTACAACCCAGAGAAAGGTGCTTGGACAGAACTAAGCCCTCTGGATGTTATGCAGATGCTTGGTCGTGCAGGGAGGCCTCAGTATGATACACATGGAGAGGGAATAATCTTGACTAGCCACAGTGAATTGCAGTTCTACCTGTCTCTTATGAACCAGCAGCTGCCTATTGAGAGTCAGTTCGTATCCAAATTAACTGATCAATTGAATGCAGAGATTGTTCTGGGGACTATTCAGAATGCTCGCGAAGCATGCTCGTGGCTTGGCTACACTTACCTCTATATTCGGATGCTCCGCAATCCAACATTGTATGGTTTGCCAGCAGATATCTTGGAGAGTGATAAAACACTTGATGAAAGGAGAGCTGATTTGGTAAGTAATTTGTGCACTGCTGTTTTTGAAGTTCTGTGGTAGCTGCTCATCCTTACTGTTTTATTTCTCAATTATTGCTTTGGTCCTTGTCTGTGTGAATTTGCTCTAATTGCTAATGTGTCATCTTATTTGGTTAATCTATTTCTAGACTAGAGGTCACCTTCCCCACAGGTTCTCACAACTGCGCATGCAAAATATTTCTTAAGTGTTTGTTACAGTCTTGTATAGTTAATAATCATATTAGCCTGCGTCATTGATCAATAGTCTCTGCAGTATGGCATATTTACTGTGTGGGCATGCAGTTTTAAATGCTATTAAAAAAACCTGTACTTTCAGTGCCGAACTGCAGCTCTGCTAGGGCAATTGCGTCCTTGGCCTAACTGGTAGTGTACGATGATGTCGTGGTATTGTTCCTTTTCCTCTGTTGCAGCATAAGTTTTTTGCTGCATGTGTAGTGGTTGCACTATGTGGGTTAGTGTTTTCTTTTCATCTTAGTACTATTGCTACCTTGTGTTTAGCACCATTTCACATGCATTTGTAATGATAATGTATATGGGTATTGGCTTGTATGTACCACCTGCACATTTTGTGTGGTATGTCACATGTGCACATAATAATAATGTAATGTGGGTAATGATAGACACATATTGAAATGACAATTTTCTTTTCATAGGTACATATACATATATTGAATGCATATAATTTTGTTTCGATACAGACTCGTTGCAATTTGTTGTACAAGAATTTTGCTTCAGAAAGTATAATATCCATATCTATTTTTACGCAAACATGAATTGAAGGAAATAATACTGTGGTCCTCAAGCCCATAGTGTTTTTTTTTTTTTGTTTGAACGGAAGATGTAGGTTGCTGATGTAAATCCTGTTTTGCTGAAGTATTATATGTGCTTCTTTGATGCTTCAGCGAGATCTGAAGAAATTTAGGTTTTGCAGTTATTCCATACCCATCATTGATTTTACTGCCTCTTGATATTGCACAGATATAGTTTATGTTACAGCATACTATCTCTGCCTGTTCTGTTCTTGATCTTTTGTTTTTTTGTTGTGCTGCAGATACATTCCGCTGCAAATCTACTGGATAGGAACAATCTGATAAAGTATGACAGGAAAACAGGATACTTTCAAGTTACTGACCTGGGAAGGATTGCCAGTTATTACTATATTAGCCATGGAACTATTTCAACATACAATGAGTACCTGAAACCTACAATGGGTGATATCGAGCTGTGTCGACTGTTTTCTCTGAGTGAAGAATTTAAGTATGTAGGTGTCAGGCTAGATGAGAAAATGGAACTGGCAAAGCTTTTGGACCGTGTGCCAATTCCTGTCAAAGAGAGTTTGGAGGAATCCAGTGCAAAGATCAATGTTCTGCTGCAAGCATATATTTCTAGGTTGAAACTGGAAGGCCTTTCTCTTAGTTCGGATATGGTCTACATCCGACAGGTGGGGCTATTTTTTTTTCTGTCGACTACAATTTATAATTCGCTTGCACGATTTCACTACTTAATACAGTTTCTGAACCTGAATTTCTTGCTTTTATTGTATTGTATAGTTATGTTTCTCCCCCTTCTGTGATTCAGAGTGCTGGCCGTCTCCTACGAGCACTATTTGAGATTGTTTTGAAGAGGGGATGGGCTCAACTAGCGGAGAAAGCGCTGAATCTTTGCAAGATGGTTGATAAACAAATGTGGAGTGTCCAGACTCCCTTGCGGCAGTTTACTGGAATTCCAAAGGAGATCTTGATGAAACTGGAGAAAAAGGAGTTGGTTTGGGAGAGGTACTATGATCTGTCCTCACAAGAAATTGGTGAGCTAATCCGCTATCCCAAGATGGGGAGGCAGCTGCACAAGTGCATCCACCAGTTACCAACGTAGCCATCGACGACGCCGAGGCAGGGTTGCGTTTCGCAATCACCGCCATGGCCGCGGATGCGACCTGCGACGTCTCCACCGCCAATGCCGCCCGTGCGCTGCGCACCATCCAGGGCGTCGAAGAGGGCTCCTTCTCCATCACGCCGTTCTACCCCGAGCACTTCCTCGTCCAATGTACATCGCAAGCAGCACGCGACCGAATCCTGGGGGCCTCCCCGGTGCCCGTCCCCGGAACGTGGCTCGTGCTCCGCCCATGGACACGGCTCTCCCACGGCGCGACTGGGACTATGAAATTCAGAGTGGCAATCGAGCTAGAAGGCATTCCACCACATGCTTGGGCTGAGGACACGGCGGCGAAGATTCTTGCGCCGAGCTGCTGGATCCACACCGTCCATGAACTATCGCTGTCCAAGGCGGATCTTTCGGCGTACAAGCTATCGGCCTGGACATGCGACCCAAGGGACATACCCAAGGTGGTCTGGTTACACATCGCCGAGAACGAGATCGTCCGTGTCGGCAACCTGCCGCCCTACCTAAGGAAGAAGGACATCCTCAGCTACCGGGTGCTCGTGCACTTGCGCCATGTCACGGACTTTGACCCAGACAGCCCTTCCCCGACACCATCACCGCCGAAGTCGGATGACGGCGACAGCGGGCATGACGGCAACCCTGACCGCCAACACTTCTCCAGGGGAACGGCATCACGCATTCAGGGGTTCCGCTGCCACCGGGGAACCATCGACGGGGAACAGCCGGCGGTCAACAACGGAAGCGGTGCGCCCCTCGGTCGTACAGCCAACGTCAGTCGGTCTCACCTACCCTTCCAGCACGGTACAGCTGCAAAGCAAGATGCCCAACCACGCCACCATGTTCCGGTCTCGCAGCGCATCCCCTGTGCGGCTGCAGATGAGACATGCGACGGCGGGACAAAATGCAGGGAGCACGACAGCGAAGAGTGCCAGTTCGAATTTACTCGACAAGGAAACTACGACAAGAATGCCGGAGGACAGTCGGCCTCGGACCCCATGGTCCTTGAGGCAGGGCTTCTCAGCGAGACGGCTTCTCAAAGCAGGGCAGACAGCTGCCATGGGACATACAGCAGGGAGGACCAAACGGGGCCGACCACCCAGGAAGAGATGGTCCTGGATGATGCGGGTGCCGCCAACTCCGTGCCCGCGAACGTGAGCCCGGGAACGGAACATCACACCGCTGCGGAACGAGCCGCGGAACTAGAAATGGCCACGGCCATCGGACGGGTCGAATCACCCACGGCGCCGGCCTTGGCACTTCAGGCTGGCGCGGCAAGCGCGCATGTCAAATTACCTGCTACGTGCGACTGCCAGACAAACGCCACGTCTATGGTCACTACGGCGCAGACGCAAATCTCCAACATGCCTACGGGGGACGCCCACGAACCCGGCAGTGGCGTTCGATAACCAGGCCACCACGCCAGGCGGGGACCCAACGCCGACCGCATCGGAGGCGGCCCGTCTCCTAGCCAAGTTCGCGAATGATGTCCAAAAGAAGCGGCCTACACCACTCATCAAATCGCCGCCAAAGCAGAGGCCGCCGGCAAAGAAGGCACCCATTCCGACACGAAGCCGTCGCATCGCGGCGCAACAGTTGGGACACATACCGGTGTCCAAGAGGGGAGAAGTGATCGCCATGAAGAGGTTGGGCTTCACGCACGCAGCGCCCAACCATCCTGCGGGCAAAGGCGCGACTCTGAAGCCTTCTTCAATGTGGAAATGACGGATCAGAGGTCGAGGCCTTGGACAACCTCTTCCAGAAACAAACAAAGCGGCGCCCGGCAAGGCGACTTCGCCGACGCTTCGCCCGGTGGTGGCCTAAACTTAGGCCCCACAACAACCGGTTGTCCTGCTGCTATGGATAACACAACTGTATTGTCATGGAATGTGCGCGGCCTTAACGCGCGAGCAAGGCGGGATGCAGTACGTACGCTGATTGATGACATAAGGCCATCCATAGTGGCAAGCGCTTGGGCAGCAAGCCACCAGTCTCCCAAACGACGCTCTCCTGGTGGCGCCGATTGCGGTCAGTGTGCACCGGCGATCGGCGAAACGGTATGGACTCCCTCTTCGCCCTCGTCTCCTGGCAACTATGGAAGGAACGGAACGCAAGATGTTTCCGGGAATCGACATCGTCCGTCGGCGACCTACTGCACATCATCAAGAACGAAGCCGACCGATGGATTCAGGCCGGAGCAAGCGGGCTACGTGCGCTACCGCAGGGCTAGGTCCTTGTCAGGATAGACATGGATTACGGTGGTTGTTTTTTTCCATAATGTAGCGTCCGCAGGAAACTAACTAACGGCCGGGAATGAAACTCTTGTACTATAAACTCTTTCTTCTAATACAATGATATGCACACTCGTGCGTATTCGAGAAAAAAAAAAATCTTTCAGCTCATGTCCAGCCCATCACTCGTACAGTTTTGGGTTTTGAACTGACAATTACACCTGATTTCCAGTGGGATGATAAGGTACATGGATATGTGGAGCCCTTTTGGGTTATTGTTGAGGATAATGATGGCGAGTACATTCTTCACCATGAATATTTCATGCTTAAGAAACAGTATGTTGACGAAGATCATACATTGAACTTCACAGTGCCGATATATGAGCCACTGCCGCCTCAGTATTTCATACATGTTGTGTCTGACAAGTGGCTTGGTTCTCAGACAATTCTCCCTGTCTGCTTTAGGCACTTGATTCTACCAGAAAAATATGCTCCACCGACTGAATTGCTTGATCTGCAGCCTCTACCTGTTAGTGCATTGAGGAATGCAAGATATGAAGGCCTCTATAGTGCCTTTAAGCATTTCAATCCCATCCAGACTCAAGTATTCACTGTCTTGTATAACAGTGATGACAGTGTGTTGGTCGCTGCACCAACGGGCAGTGGGAAGACGATATGTGCGGAGTTTGCTATACTAAGGAACCACCAGAGGGCAGTGTCCGGTGAGAGCAACATGCGGGTCGTTTATATAGCTCCCATTGAAGCTCTCGCAAAAGAAAGATACAGGGACTGGGAACAGAAATTTGGAGAATTTGCCAAGGTAGTTGAGCTCACTGGTGAAACCGCAGCTGATTTGAAGCTTCTGGATAAAGGAGAGATCATAATCAGTACTCCTGAAAAGTGGGATGCACTGTCTCGCCGGTGGAAACAGCGAAAGCACATCCAACAGGTCAGCTTATTTATAGTTGATGAACTTCATCTACTTGGGTCTGATAAGGGACATGTTTTGGAAGTCATTGTATCTAGGATGAGGCGTATTTCAAGTCATATTGGCAGTATCATACGGATCGTAGCACTTTCAGCTTCACTTGCTAATGCTAAGGATCTCGGTGAATGGATTGGTGCTACCTCTCATGGCCTCTTCAACTTTCCTCCAGCAGTGAGACCTGTGCCATTGGAAATTTACATTCAGGGTGTGGATATAGCGAACTTCGAGGCAAGGATGCAAGCAATGACAAAGCCCGCCTACACTGCCATCACACAGCATACAAAGAACAGTAGACCTGCCCTGGTGTATGTACCGACAAGGAAGCATGCAAGGCTGACTGCATTGGACTTGTGTGCATACTCTAGTGTTGAGGGTGGTGGAACTCCGTTTCTCCTTGGGTCAGAGGACGAGATGGATACTTTCACCAGAGGTGTTGAAGAAGAGACGCTTAAGAATACACTTAAATGTGGTGTAGGCTATTTGCATGAGGGTCTAAATGAACTTGATCAGGAACTTGTAACCCAGCTGTTCCTTGGTGGGAGGATCCAAGTGTGTGTTGCGAGCAGCACAATGTGTTGGGGAAGACCATTGCCTGCTCATTTGGTTATTGTCATGGGGACCCAGTATTACGATGGCCGTGAGAATGCTCACACCGATTATCCAATTACAGATCTGCTTCAAATGATGGGTCATGCCAGCAGACCACTTCAAGATAACTCAGGGAAATGTGTTATATTGTGTCACGCACCTCGCAAAGAGTACTACAAGAAGTTCCTTTTTGAGGCCTTCCCTGTTGAGAGCAATCTTCACCATTTCTTGCATGATCATATGAATGCTGAGTTGGTGGTTGGTGTTGTAGAGAATAAGCAAGATGCCGTGGATTATCTTACTTGGACTTTCATGTATCGGCGGCTGACAAAGAATCCTAACTTCTACAATCTTCAAGGTGTAAGTCACAGGCATCTTTCAGACCATCTTTCTGAGCTAGTTGAGACTGTCCTGAATGATCTTGAATCAAGTAAGTGTGTGGCTATAGAGGAGGACATGTACCTGAAGCCCCTCAACCTTGGCCTTATTGCTTCATACTACTACATTAGCTACACAACTATTGAGCGATTCAGCTCTATGCTGACCCAGAAGACTAAGATGAAAGGACTCCTAGATATTCTAGCATCTGCTTCAGAATATGCAGAGCTTCCGGGTCGTCCTGGTGAGGAAGAATTCATTGAGAGGCTTGTTCACCACCAGAGGTTCTCTATCGAGAAGCCCAAGTATGGTGATCCACATGTGAAGGCCAATGCTCTGCTGCAAGCCCATTTTTCAAGGCATACAGTGGTTGGAAACCTGGCAGCTGATCAGCGTGAGATTCTTCTTTCTGCCCATAGGTTGCTCCAGGCAATGGTTGATGTTATATCTAGCAATGGTTGGCTTAGCCTTGCTCTTAGTGCAATGGAGTTGAGTCAAATGGTGACACAAGGCATGTGGGATAGGGATTCTGTGCTGCTTCAAGTTCCACACTTCACAAAGGACTTGGCCCGGAGGTGCCAGGAAAACGAAGCGAAGCCCATCGAGAGTATCTTTGATCTTGCTGAGATGGGTGTCGATGAGATGCGGGATCTTTTACAGCTATCAAACTCTCAGCTGCAGGACATCATTGAATTCTTCAAGCGGTTCCCTAATGTTGATATGACCTATGAGGTCCGTGAGGGTGACGATATAAGCGCTGGTGACAATGTAACTGTGCAGGTAACGCTGGAGCGCGACATGACTAACTTGCCATCTGAGGTTGGTCCAGTTCATGCGCCAAGGTTCCCCAAGCCCAAGGAAGAAGGCTGGTGGCTGGTGATTGGTGACAGCTCCACAAACCAGTTATTTGCCATCAAAAGAGTGGCACTCCAGAAGAGGGCGAGAGTGAAACTTGAGTTCTCTGCTCCTGCAGAGGCAGGGAGAAAGGATTACATGATTTACTTGATGTCAGACTCTTACTTGGGCTGTGATCAGGAGTATGAGTTCACCGTTGATGTCAAGGATGCTGGAGGGGATTGATGATGAAGACTTGACACTGTGTCGCATAGAAGCGGTTGACTTGGAGTGTGTATTGTAGCACATTATTAGGAATAATTAACCTCTGAACTTGTGGAAGTCGTAGCATACTTTGGATGTTAATAACTGTGCACCTTGGGAGTTGCTGCCTTATCCTGTTATGGTATTATTCTAAGGATCACGCTCGATTATACTTGAGCCACACATACAGTTTTTTTAATCAACTTGTTGCTTCCATAAGCTTGCTGCTCCTGTAATGTTGATTTTAGTGACGTGCAGTAGAAAATGTTATAACCTGTTGATGCACCAACGGTGTTGGTGTTTTAACCTGTTCTATTGGTAGGGTACGACTGCCTTTAAGTTCCTCTTGTTTCCTTCTATCCTCTTCCTACTGAGATGGTGGATATGGGATGGATGCCATTTCAGCATTGGCTGTTCAAATTTACCATGTATTTTGTGGATACTGTGAAACAAGAGTGCTGACACCGTCTCTTTTCTAAATCCTTTTGACATGTATCAACATTTTTGTCTGATTGTAATTCTCTGTTTTGGTAATTGTCCCTGTAACAATGCTTCTGTCTAAAATCTTTGGGTTCTGAATGAAAAAGGTAATGTATCCAAAGTTGTGAATAGATGGGGGCATTAGTCGGTTCCGGCTTACAGGGATTGGTGTGAAGATTAGTACCATATCCGTCTTCTGTTGCAATGGAACCACTGGGGAGACAGTCGCATCAAGTGGCAAGCAATTTGTGGTGCACAAACTAGCAGCACATGAGATTTATATATTAAAAAAAGTGCTTATGACTGGTCTCAAGGCATTTTCTGTATCCTATGGGCATGTAGCCTTTGCTAACGGTCAATCCATGTTTTAAAACAACTGCTAGTTTGTTTGCTTATCACAGGTTTATTTGCATTACTTGTAATATGTAATAGCTCGATCAGCATAATACATTTTTCATCCGTTCTGAAATACGTGAAGCATAAATAAAAGAGCTACTAGATGAACATCAGATCCGTAGGCTCAGGCGAAGATTGAAATCTCGCTACGCATGGTTGTTGCTTGCATATTCTGCTCGCCTGGCCAGATGGACAAATTAGGGTCGGGTCCGCTATGGCTCCCGTCGATAAACCGTTCTCCACGCCCCCTCCGATGCAGCTTCACTTTGCAAGATCTGAGAGAAGAAGAACCATAATATGGTTGTTGAGAGGAGAGAGGAAAGAGAAATCAAGACAGGAACTTCCTGAAGTTGGGAATTTTTACCTGTTGTTACGTTACCTGGCCTGGACAGTAGGTAGGTCAGAGATGATTTCGGAAGAAGCAGCCCAAACAAGCCCAACCCGAACTTTAGCACCCATACACGCAAGAACGAACGAGACCCATACAGGCGCCATGGTCCAGATGTGGGAGACAAAGTGGATCTATATTCGTATAGACGGTGCTCGCATCGTTCCGAGGACTAGGAGTGGTTGACTTGCAAAAATATATTCTCTGTGTCTGTTGAATCGTGCTATCTTTTGAGGGGGGAAAAAATATTTGTCGGTGACCTCAAATAACTTTTTTTATGCCGTTATTAATCCATGTCTGATTTTTTTTTTTTATTTCTTAAAAGCAACGTCTTCTCTGATAACCCAAAATCCAAATATCGCGAATTTGTGCAAGCAGGGATAAAGTGGATCGATATTAAGTATAGACGGTGATCGCATCGTTCTGAGGACTGATTATTTGACTTGGAGTTTTTATATCTCTCTGTTGAATTTGCTATTTTGAGGGCTTTCTAGCTGTTGTCGTTATTCTATTGACTAACGAAATGCGCTCATGCGTCGTAACAGAACATACAAATTACTACGTGGCCATCGCGGTCATCGGGACAACTTATAGCTTAAAGGTTTATATAACAATTATATTGCGTTATCTATTCTCGTATATACGTGTTAGAATTAAACTTGGTACCATGTCTGGACGCGTGCCGCTCTAACTCGTATTGTTCCAAAGGCTTATAGAGAGACTTATCAATGATTATTACATCGTGCATTTCAATTGGATCGGACTCCGTCCTGGAAATACTGTCTTCCAATTAATTTTTTGGAATACAGGCCCGTCACTTGATCATAACAATAATAAATAAGAAGAAAATAAGACTAGCAGCGCCTTCCTCTTATCCACACACACTAACAGCCCAGCTTATCAGAACCAGAAACAAATCCACGAAATTAATCCATGAGATCGGGATGGCTGGGGTGACGCTCAACGAAATTATACATACAGCCTGAACAAAAGGACGATGAAACATGGCAACTCATTCGGACGAAGAATTGCTAACCCTGCTGCCAGCATCTAGGCACTTTCTTACCGTAGCAGGGACTCGCAGATTATTAGCACCAACGCCAGGAAGGCACACGACATTACCATATAGCAGGAACTAGCTGATTAGCACCAACGGCACAGTGCTCGTGACGTAATCACCTCTCGAGCCAACTAGCTTGTAAGTTACAACAGTCGAAGTATGATAAACAGCACAGCGACAGCACCAAAGGTCTGTTAGATGAGCATATATGACAAGGTCCATGAGGGCCTTGAACCAACTTGTAAGTTACAAGAGTCGAAGTCACATAAATAACCCAACAATAACACAAGTCTAACTTGCATATATCCTAGACAGGTCTGTCAAATACTAGTAAGATATAAACAGCACGGCAACTGCACCAAAGGTTTGTTAGATACTAGCTAGATGAGCAGAACAAGGTCCATTAGATACTCCAGCAGTGTGATGTCTAATTAAGACGCCGCCCAATATGCTTGTCTAGATCATGAATACCCACATCAAGTGCGCCATGATACCAATATGGCTCGGGCACCGGCCACCTGTCATCCAATATGCTTTTGTCCCAATGTAAGTTGGCTGTTGAATAAAATAGTCTAAGCAAACAGAAACAAGTGGCAATGCGAAAACAGAAAGAAATATACCTGTTTTTCTGTATCCCCTTCTTTATCCCACCACCAACACTGACAGGCATAGGATGGTTATATCCACTGTCATCAAACATAATTTATTTTTCAGAGTTCGTAAAATAAGTGAAATGGCTACCAGTTAGCATTGAGATGAAAATAATACCATTCTGATGGTAAAGAATTCACTCCACTTAGAACTTCAACAATCTTGTGCCTTGGTAAGAAAGGAGTTACACCGCTTCCATCCCAGAAGTTCATGCCAACAAAACTCCCATCAAGATTAATAAGCGGGCCTCCAATCCCAGCCTAGTTTTTTAAAAAAAGGTCCAAGGTTACTGTAAAACTTGTAATTCCTGATAAGTTCAGTAGATGCAATATGATTAAACTGGTTACCATATAAAACAAAAGTAAGAGAGATTCACCACAGTACCTTCTTGATTTTACAAGTAGACAGCTGAACATCTTTGCAATCAAGTTTGCAACTCTTGTTTCCACGCTTCACTTCACCACTTGCGGCCATCAATATACCAAATTTAGCATCACGCCCTATAGCTACAACCTTTTTAGATGTGTTTTGTGCACTTTTAATGAAGATGTCGTCCGGACAAATAGCACTGAAATTCTTCTTGAGACTGACAATAGCAATGTTATAGTCTAAATTATAAAATTCCAATGTCCCACCAGCACGTTGATTCGGTGGGAGAAACACCTCAATCTGCAATGAGAAAGTGAGCTCAGCAAACCATCATTAAACTTAAAAGACCAAAAGTAATGATAAGGACTAAGGAGCACCAACCGTCAAGCTATTGTTAGATTGATCTCCTAACCAATAAGCCCAACGGCCTATTGGGCCTTGGTCACGCGCCCTGATCGGGGGCGCCCAACCCTACATGGTTGGTGGGCCCCCGTCGCACTGCGCTATATAAAGAGGTGGGGGCCGGCGGCTCAAAGCATGAGGTTCGCCGTGAGCCGTACTCCCACCGATAAACCCTAATTCCGATCTAAGAGGGCGCGCAGCCAGCGACGGGAAGCTCCGCTGATCCTCGCCGTCGTCACTGCTACGCCCCGACCGCACTGCATCGACGTCCGCGCAACCTCTACTCCACCCGTCGCTGCGCGTGTGCTGCCTCCATCACCGAACCAGCGATGGCCAGCACAACCGCGACTTCATCTGAAGGCTCAGGTTCATCACCAGCCCCTCTCTACCCTATCTCCCTCTCGGTGTAGTGTTCTAGGTCTAAATGTGCATGTGCTTCACTGGTCTAAGTGTTTATCCGTCTAGATCTACCCTAGTCGATCCACAGTTTATATAACAATGGTACCAGAGCCTTTTTCTAGCGGTAGATCTGGATCGGGGAAAGAAAGAAATCGAACCCTAATCCTCAATCGGGTACGGGAAAAGTGAGAACAGTTTGAGACATGGTCTCGACATCCTAACCCGCTCGGTGATTGACTGAGAAGGGAAAAGAACCGATTTCAAATCGAGGGGAAGAAGAAAACAGTTTCATCCCCAATCCTAACCCTAACCCTAATCGGGAAATCGTGCAAAATCCGAATCAAAGAAACCGGAAAGGATCCCGATCTCGGATCGGATCAGAAAGAACCCTAACCCTAGAAATGAAACCCTAACCCTAGATTGGGTTTTGGGGAAGGAAAAGATGAAGAGGGGAACCTACCCGGTCCTCCCGACACCGCCGTCGCGCGGAAAGCCACCACCGTGCTGGCGGTGATCACCGCCGCCATGGTTGGCGAGCGGACAGAGGCCCGGCTCGGCCGTGGCTCAGGACAACGGTCCAAAGCCGCTCGACGGCGGCGCGCTCTGCCATGGGCGAGCGCGCGCACCGGCGAGGGGCTTGGCACCGGTGTCGTCCTCACTTCTTCTCCGGTGATGAGGTGGCCGCGCGCTCCCTTCGTCTTCGCTACCGTCGCCGTGGGAGAGGAGAGGAGAAAGAGAAATGGTCTAGGGTTTTCGGGAAGCGCGCCGGCGGGTTTTGATGCCCCGAGTCAGGCGCTCCACCGCTCGATCGACACGGACGGCCACAGTGGTCGGGCGGGCGCCCTTGACCAGGGAAAGGGCGCGAGGTGAATTTCGCCCAGCCAAAGTTGCGGCTGGGCGCTGGTCTTATTTGGAGCAGCGGATGGGCATGGCATAATTGAGCAGGTCTTATTTGGAGATGCATGCTGTGAGTGGGCCGTGGGCATGGCGATGTCTTTGGCTGGGCCGAAATGGCCTAATGAATAGAAATAGCTCAAAGTTTTTCTTTTATTTTTCCAGAAATATATATTTTGATGAATTTCAATTGGAAGTTGATGCAAATCTTTGTGCAATTTTTGTCCAACGACAATTTTGTTCAGAGAACAGTGCAATATTTAAGAGTTTTTGGAAAAATAATTATGGGCATATTTAAATTTTCCGCTGCGTATTTAAAGTAATTATAGACTTTTAATTAAATTCGAACCAACGGGAGAATTTGATTTTAAGAGCCAAGAGATAAATATGAGTTGATTATGATATTGTTATTTTCTGACCAACGTTGTTAATAGCAATATTATAATTTTAATGATTATGCATTATTTCTATTTCTGCCCAACGGTGATGTAGATTTAATGTATAAAATAATTGTATGTTTTAATTTTGACCAACGTTAAACTAAGGCATGCAATTATTGTTGTTATTCTGTTCTCACACTATTTGAATTGTGTTTGAGGAGGATACAACTTAATGAGTTGTATCAAAGAGATCCCCACTCTAAAAGGTGATAACTATAATGAGTGGAAGAAAAAGATAGACTGGCCTTCATCCTCATTTGAGGTGGATGAGTTGTCACCACACCGTGCCCTAGAGAAACTGTGGCACCGGTGAGGGAGACTGATGAGACCGATCTTGCGCATGGCGAGAATAGAGAGCGGATTTTGCTCCCGTAAAGATGTCATATGACCTTGAGCATAGGAAATGGGTCACTTTGCCAACAAGAAGTGTTTGGCGTTGATAAAGAACACGATTGAGCCTGCTATTGTGGGCTCAATTCCAGATCGTGAGGACAGTCACAGAGTACCTAGATAGAATAAAGAGTCAGTTCTTTGGCTCTTCAAAAAGACATATGCAACCCGGTGATCAGCAAAATTTGGTTCTGAAAAGGTACTACTGGTGGCGGCAATGGCATTAGAGAGCACATATCTCGAGAATGAGCAATCTGGCATCTAAGCTCAAACCAATGGATTTGACACTCAAGGATGAGTTTCTTATTTATTTGATTTTTGCTTCTTTGCCCAAAGAATTTGACACCTTTGTTGTTAATTACAACATACAGCCTGAAAAATGGGATTTAGAAAAGCTCATAGCCATGTGTGTGTGGAGGAGGAAAGAATAAAAGTTTCATAAGGTGGTTCATCAACTACCTAAAAGATAAGAAAAGGAACTATTATAATGCTCTTCCTCCAAGTCATCCTGGAAAAAGGTCCCATGCAACAGTCTCAGAACCAGCAATTCCCAGTGGCTAAAGATCAGTGTCTCCACTGCAAGAAGACGGGACATTATAAAAAGAACTGTCCCGATTTCCTAAAGATGATAATGAAGAATAAAGGTGAGAACATTATTACGTTTGTAAATGAATCCTTGTATGTAAAGTTTTCAAAATCTACTTGGTGGATTGATTCAGGTGCAACTATTCATGTTGCTAATTCATTACAGGGATTCCGTTCGATGAGAACTTTGCAAAGAAGCGAAAGTTTCATTAAAGTCGCAAATGGAGTACAAGCAGAGGTTGAGGCCGTTGGAGATCTTCCTCTAGAGCTTCCCGATGACTTTATACTTTTTCTTAGAGATGTTCTTTATGTACCTTCTTTGCAAAGAGACCTGATTAGTGTATCAAAGTTGGACCATGATGGTTATGATTGCCATTTTGGAAATGGCAAATGTCAGATATTGTTTAATAATAAATGTGTTGGTCTTGCCTTCCGACAAGACGAGCTTTATTTGTTATCACTTCGTGAAAATGTGAATTCCGTATGTGATGTGAATGAAAATGTATCCTCATCGAACAATGGAAAGCGAGAAACGAAAGAGAGCTCACGATGCGTTGTCGAAATTATGGCAATCTTGTCGTTTAGGCCATATTTCGAGGGGGGAGAATAGAAAGACTAGTTAAGAATAATATTCTTCCTTCATTAGAGCTCTCGAGTTAGAACAATGTAGAGATTGCATAAAAGGAAAGTATGTAAAGAAAATTAAGAAAGATGCCAAACTAAACGCAGGAATTCTATGATTATTCACACGGACATATGTGGTCCTTTTTCTGTGAAAAGTGTGGATGGTTATGATTCATTCATAACATTCACAGACGATTACTCTCGTTTTGGCTATATTTATCCAATTAAAGAAAGAACAGAAGCGTTGGATAAATTCAAAATATTTAAAGCGAAGTTGAAAATCAGCATGATTTAAAGATTAAGATAGTCGAGTCGACCGTGGAGGAGAGTACTACGGTCGGCATACCCCATATGGACAAGTTCACGGACCTTTTGCAAGGTTCTTACGGGGAGAATGGTATAGTCGCCCAAATATTCAACACCAAGGCGAACCTCAGCAGAATGGAGTAGTGAAAAAGGCGAACTGCACCACGATGGATATGGTGCGTAGTATGATAAGTTACTCCACTTTACCGATGAGTCTGTGGATGGAGGCGTTAAAACCGCCATTCATATTCTCAATAGAGTACCAAGTAAGTCGGTGCCTAAAACACCGTATGAGTTGTGGATGGAAGAGTACCCTCACTTAACCACTTGCGTGTGTGGGGAGCCTGCTTTGAGGTTAAAGTTTTAACCCAAATATTGGGAAGCTAGATCCCAAAAGCGGTGAGTTGCCATTTCATTGGCTACCCGAGAAAAGTCAAAAGGTTTTTGTTTCTCTCTTGTCCTAATGAGACATACAAAGTTTGTGGAAACGAGACATCTTTGTCTTCCTAGAGGATGAAATGATTAGGGGGAGCATGGTAGCTCGAGAAATTGACCTTGAAGAGAAGCGGGTGTATGCACCCACTCCAATAATTCATGAGCCATTTTTCTCACTATCTGCTGTTGCTGCACCGACAGTACAAGACACTGTGGTGCCAGCACCTGTTGTTATCCCGCCTGTGGCAACAATGAATGATGATGAGGAACCTGTGCCTCAGGATCCTATAGAACCTATTGCCACACATGAGGGGGAGCAACAACAGCCTAAAACAGAAAATGTGCCAAATGAGGAGGCCCCTAGAAGGTCTCAAAGAGTTAGAAAATTAGCTATTCCTGCTGATTATGAAGTGTACAACACTGAAGAATTTCAAATGGAGGATGATCCCACCTCATTTGAAGAAGCCATGAAAAGTGATCATTCATCAAAGTGGCTTGAGGCCATGGAAGATGAGATGAGATCAATGAATGCAAATAAAGTTTGGGATTTGGAGATAATTCCTAAAGGAGCCAAAACAGTAGGCTGTAAATAGGTCTACAAAACAAAACTTGACTCTCAAGGGAATATAGAGAGATATAAAGCCCGACTTGTGGCAAAAGGCTTTACACAAAGAGAAGGGATTGATTACAATGAGACCTTTTCTCCAGTCTCATGTAAGGATTCCTTCAGAATCATAATGGCATTAGTGGCATATTACGATTTGGAATTACATCAGATGGATGTAAAGACGGCATTTCTCAACGGAGACTTAGAGGAAAATGTTTACATGGCACAACCGAAAGGTTTTGTCATGGAAGGAAAAGAACGTTTGGGATGCCGCCTAAAGAAATCTATTTATGGATTAAAACAAGCTTCAAGACAGTGGTACTTGAAGTTTGATCAGACAATAAAGAATTTTGGGTTTAAAGATAATGTTGAGGACAATTGTGTCTACGCAAAGTTTAAGAATGGGAAGTTTATCTTCCTTGTCCTGTATGTGGATGATATCTTACTTGCTAGTAGTGATGTCAGTCTACTACTGGAAACAAAGAAGTTTTTGTCCTTAAAATTTGATATGAAAGATCTTGGTGAAGCTTCGTTCGTTCTAGGGATCGAGATTCACCGAGATAGAAGTAAAGGGGTATTAGGACTGTCACAAAAGGCATACATAGAAAAAATCTTAAAGAAATTCAGTATGCACAAATGTAGTCCCTCACCTGCTCCTATAGTCAAGGGCGACAGATATGGGGATTTTCAATGCCCCAGGAACCAATATGAGATCGATCAAATGAAAGTGGTTCCATATGCTTCAGCTGTCGGAAGCTTGCAATATGCTCAAGTGTGTACGCGCCCTGACTTGGCATTTGTTACCGGGTTACTTGGTAGATTCCAGAGCAATCCTGGAATAGAACACTGGAAATTGGTAAAGAAAGTCTTGCGTTATTTGCAAGGAACGAAAGGCCTCATGATGACATATAGAAGATCCGATTCACTCCATATAGTGGGATATTCAGATTACGATTATGCGAGAGATAATAGAAAATCCACGTGCGGATATGTGTTCACTCTCGCAGGGGGAGCTATTTCATGGAAAAGCTCAAAGCAAACCGTCACTACATCGTCCACAATGTATGCCGAGTTTGTAGTGTGTTATGAGGCAACGGGGCAGGTGAACTGGCTAAAGAAGTTCATACCCGGTTTAAAGGTGGTTGACGACATCAATAGACCATCGAAGTTATCTTTGCGATAATAATCCAAAGAGACAAGGTATGCTCACAACAATAGGTTAAGTGGTCTTTGCCAAACACATTGACATAAAGTATTATGTTGTGAAGGATAAAGTCCGGGATCAAATGATAAGTCTTGAGCATATAAGTACCGAAAAAAAATGCTCATGGATCCGCTTACAAAAGGCTTACCACCCAACGTGTTCAGAGAACATGTAGCCGGCATGGGTTTAAGGGAAAGCCTATGATTCCTGGACTATAAAGGGCCCAAAAGTTAAAGTAACTATTTCAAATCAGAGACGTGCATTGTAGCTGTTAAATCTATCGGCGATTGACCGTGACGATGAGACATGCTCTATGCATCATCTGTGAAGAAATGAGTAAGGATAAAAGGATTGAAGTTTAAAGTTTAAAGATAAAAGTAATAGTGAGATCAAGGGGGAGAATGTTAGATTGATCTCCTAACCAATAAGCCCAACGGCCTATTGGGCCTTGGTCACGCGCCCTGATCGGGGGCGCCCCACCCTACATGGTTGGTGGGCCCCCGTCGCACTGCGCTATATAAAGAGGTGGGGGCCGGCGGCTCAAAGCATGAGGTTCGCCGTGAGCCGTGCTCCCACCGACAAACCCTAATTCCGATCTAAGAGGGCGCGCAGCCAGCGACGGGAAGCTCCGCTGATCCTCGCCGTCGTCACTGCTACGCCCCGACCACACTGCATCGACGTCCGCGCAACCTCTACTCCACCCGTCGCTGCCCGTGTGCTGCCTCCATCACCGAACCAGCGATGGCCAGCACAACCTCGACTTCATCTAAAGGCTCAGGTTCATCACCAGCCCCTCTCTGCCCTATCTCCCTCTCGGTGTAGTGTTCTAGGTCTAAATGTGCATGTGCTTCACTGGTCTAAGTGTTCATCCGTCTAGATCTACCCTAGTCGATCCACAGTTTATATAACAGCTATTATCAATGCTATCCTCATTACAACGATCTCTAACTAAACTGGCTGAAGTCAGGATGACAGTGTGCTTAGCTTTGCTTCCATGCTTTATAAGCAAGCCTGTGCATGCAAAAGATCTCACATACCCTACACATTATAAGTTTAGTCATTAGTTAGTGAAGATAAAATACTAGCACAGAAAAGTAAGGAGCACACAGCTGGAAAAATCACCATTGAATGAAGCAAGTGAGACAACACGACGGGATACATCTGTCACAACTTCTTTTGGAAGTTGATTCCAGACACACTCCTCAGAGCCACCGGGTGGATCACCATAGGGAAACCCTTTCCAAGGAAGTACATTCACCAAAGCATTCTTCAAAATGATTAAGCAATTGCCCATTGACTAGTTAAAGAACGAAGATCAGAAGTGAATTACAAAAAGGCCAAGGGAGATGACAGCAATATCAAAAGCAACACTTACATTCGAGCACAAGTGGTGATGGAATGGGATAGCCATGGGACTTTAACCTGCAAATAGTTTGCATAAACCCTGATACAATATTCAGATCATTATTAGTCCTTAGATGATATGTATGATACTGGTAACATAGTATTCTGCACACAATGATACATAGGCAACATTTTAGAAGATGGCTTGCAGTATTGTTCACACCTGAAGGAACTACACTTAATACATCTTTAGGCAACTTATATCCACGGAAGTCTAGTTTTTTAGGACTGCAATAAAACATAGTTGACTTGTTATGACAAAATAAAGAACAGGAACTACACAGGGAAAAAAAACCCAATCATACCAACACGTGAATCTAATCTTGTCTTGTGAAAGAAATAAAGGTATGAAATAATGACTAGGAATAAGGCGTAAATATTCAACAAAAGATGAGAGGATTGAACATATTCATGTCACAAATATAGGTTGCATTGTCCATATTGCCACAAAGAATTGTTTAATTCTTCCTAATTTAAACCAAAACATTAAGCATGGGCACTAAGTTAGCATCATAAGATCTGGCAACGGTACTGGTTTCAGTAGAGAGGGCAAGAAGAACCAAATTATTTTCAATCCAAAGGTTACCATGTGAAAACTCCTAAGTCTCCAATGCTGTTAGTAAAAATGGCTTACCTTAAACAGGAAGTGGATTAGGAGAGAGGGTTTGGAACAAATATGAATCAGGTTAACTGAAGAAATAGTTCCTAAATAGTGCAAGTGTAGAAGACATACTTGAGTATCTGAAAATGCTTCAAGCGTTTGCAAAGTAAGTCCATTGGTAGGAAGGTGTATCTCAAAATTGCATCACCAGGGTCATAAATATCTAAGTTTATCCCGACAATTTTATTATCGCACCCCAGAAGTGGCCCTCCAAGTACAGCCTACAACAAAAGCAAAGTTAGGTTTAGAAAGGATTTACTTCAATGCACACGGTGATACTTTAGACCAGCAATAACATAACACAATTATGTGTTCCATGTTTTCCATCATGCCACGAAGTTACAAATAAATAAATCGACAGTATACCTTAGAGATATCTTGACTATCAGGAACCCAGGTGTTCAGGTGTTCGAGGTGTATGAGGTGGCGTTTCTCATACAGAGATCCACTCATGGCCATCAAACTGTCAGAGTTGAAGGCACGCCCAGCAGCTTTCAAACTATCACCAGGGGAAGGTGTTGCCTTAAGATCCAGATCTATAGGACGGACTCCTAGGAAGCCCAAGCATGTGACGATAGCAACGTCTTTATCATATAGTCCTAAGAACCCATCGGTAGTTGTATTATTAGGAAGGCGCACTGCAACCTACAGAAATAAAAGCAGTGCACAAGCACAAGCTCAGGATGTTCACAATTAGCTTGAATATACAAAGAAAAATCAAGGAACACAATGATTAGCAGCACTAACCCTCAACTTATCATCTTTATTTCTATTCTCGTTGAATTGTGTAACCAAATATGCTGATGTCACAAATCTTGTTAGGCTTTGTCTGGTTCTTCCGTGAGGTATAGGTATGCCCGAGCATGCAAATAACATCTTATCTCCTGGACAATATCATGATTTAAATAACAAGTGATGACTAAATGCAATTTATTTAAGAAAATTGAAAAGTACAGTAGCACAATCACCATCAAACAAAGCGATCGAGACAACCAAGGAAGACAAATCCACAGCATAATTAGTACTGATTGGATAAGTTAATTGACCAGGTTTGACTATTTCACCAAATGACTTCTCCTCAAAAGCAACGTTTGAACCTTCACGAAAAGGTTCGCCAAATCGTTGCACTGCAATAGCAGATAGATTCTCCTCAAAATTATGATACGCCTCATAAGCCGCATGATCTGATTAATAAACATGATACACCACAACTGAGTGCTAGAGCAATATGCACCACAAAAGAAAGAACCAGCAAATTCAAATCAACTACTCACGTTCTAGCATCCATTTTATGGCGCGGTTCAAGGCTCTCTTGTTACCACTAGGGACATAACTCCGACTTGAAACCAGAGATGACTCAAGTTTGTTCCTTCTGTTTATGGCTCTCTGCTCCCTACTCACACCTCTTGTGCAGTCAATCCCCCCCTTGTTCCTCGTGGTCTTTGCAGTCCTGAAGCAGAAAATAAATGCAAATGCTTAGTAGAGTAACTAAGACCCTTTTGTAAGCTTATAATCCTCCTCCCTCCCCCAACACACACACACACACAACACCAAAAATAAATCAAAATCAAAACAATGAAGCACCTTCTAAACCTTAAAATATTAGGTTCATTGATAATACTATCAACAATAACACTATGACGAAGCATGTGCTCAAAATCGGTACAAGATTGACCTGATTCTTTGCATATAAATGTAAAAAGGCTCCAATCTATCCAAAACTTGGTGTTGTATGGCAAAGTGGCAATCAAGAAGTGACAACATAGGCAGCAAGTTCCTAGCAGCTAGCTAAGATTGACAAAAAAAAATCTAAACATAACAGAAAACAATCAAACCAATATGAAGCGGGCAAGTCTAAACAAAGCTATTTAACTGGCCACATTCATACATGGTTAGGAAGAAGAGAATTCGGAATTTTGCTGTAGGAAAAAGCTGAGTTATTAAGCAACAGATCGTAACAAGACCCATCCAAAATCTGTGATGTCTGAATTTTCTATGGAAAAAAACTGAACATATGCATGGATGTTAGCTTAAAGGTTATTTTAGAAAATATAAACCGCAACAAAAAATCTGTGATGGTTCTGAGATGTGTGAGGGAGTATGATGGATAAACATTACTCGTAGCTAGACAACATGTACATGAGATTTTACTTGGGCCAACACATCGTTCAAGCAACAATCCAAGCATAACCAACTCAAGTTGGATGTAGAGTATAACTCAACTGGAACAGATCCGTGAGCAATTGCAACTATCACAGTGAGCAAATGAGTAAACAGACGCTTTACATCGCGCAATTTCCCCTCGATGAATCACTAGCTAGTCGTCAGATGCGTCCCCGACCACCCCGCAGGCCGGAGTCGCCGTCAACCGTGACGGCTCCGTACGCCCGCGAGACTAGCGTGTCGCTGCCACCGGACTGCGAGATGTCGAGATGTAGGGTTTTGTGGTTGTGCGGCCGCGAGTGGGCAGTCGGGGAACGCTCTGCTAGGGTTAGGAGGTCCTCCAGCATCATATTATTATGATCGACAGCATAGGGACCTAATTTTTTATAATTTGATCTTTTTTTAAGAAAATTTATATTTGGTCTTCTGGAAGACTTAAACTCATCTTTGAATTCTAGGAATGGACACGCCAAGCTAACACATCTCGGCGCATAAATATTGACGCTGAGGTGCCTGTCCGTGTACAGTAATAGTAGATGACACGTTTACATAACTGCTATCTCCGTATCAGAATATATGACGGAGTTCGACGGCACGTTGACACCGAGCACGACGCCCGGAATCATGACGCCGACCTCGGCGCCAACCAGGCCTGGTGGTCGACGCCGCGCGCGGCAGGAGGGGCGCAGAGGCCGGCCGGCGAAGCATTCGCATTTAACCCGCCGATGATGCGATATCTCCTCCTCCCTCTCTCTCTCTCTGTCGCTGCGCCTGCACCCTGCCCCTGACCCCTGCAGCTGCGCGTACGCCCGCACTGTGCTGCGCTGGTCGCTGCCACCGTCGTCGATCGTCGTCATTGCCGCTGCCACTGTACTTGTACGTTGTACCACGGCCCCCAGTCCCCAGCTAGCCAACAGTGCTCGTCAGTGGCAGTGCACGCAGGCATCGCCTCCCCTAGTTCCCTGTGCTGTGCACGCCGTGCGAAACTGCTGCCCTGCCCTCCATCCTTTGCAGGAAGTAGTGACACATGGCTAGCTAGCTAGCTCTAGCTGCTAGTCTATCTTGGTCTCACCAAGCCTTTGTAACAGATCCTGTTTAGTTTTTACAGTCGCTCCTAAAATTTCTCTCACATCGAATGTTTAGATACATGTATGTAGTATTAAATATAGACTAATTACGAAACTAATTACACAACTTGCGACTAATTTGCGAGACGAATCTTTTAAACCTAATTAGTTCATGATTTGACAACGTGATGCTACAGTAAACATATACTAATGACAGCTTAATTAGGCTTTAAAAAATCGTCTCGTAAATTAGCCTCCATCTATGTAATTGGTTTTATAATTAATCTATATTTAATGCTCTTTATTAGTATGTAAATATTCGATGTGATATGAATTTTAGGAGAAACTAAAGAACGAAAGACCCCCTAAGCGTGATATGAATTTTAGGAGAAACTAAAGAACGAAAGACTCCCTAAGCGGATGATATGAGTGGTGGTCTGTGCAATGTCTTTTCTTTTACTAGAACACGAGAGAGAGGACAGAAGAGGAGACCAGGCGCGTGCGGCGCGCGCCACATGCGCGCATAGCCTAGACCCGTCTGTCTCTGCTTGCTTACAAGAGGAAATATATCATGAGATATCTCATCTGGAGTGAGATGGACATCATGATCTGTAGCTTTACAACATGTTCGTTTGGTCATAAACGATCGTGGATTATAAGCTAGAACAATGTTTTTCTCTCACACTAAACCAATCAGCAGTAATAATCCGTGATCGTTTCAGCCGAAACAAACAGGCTGGTAGTTGTTGGTGTCAGTATATTTGCAGATAGCTTCTGATTCTTTACCATGCCTGGAACAGGGAGGCCAATTACCAGTCACTAGAAAGAACAAAACAACATCAAATTGGATAATTCTTGTCAGCATAAAGCATACCATCAGGAAGAGCATTTCCACAATAGTTCCTTACACCCTTGTCAGCATAAAGCATCCCCTCACTAAAAATTAACACGCAAAGATAAGATTAGTAAGAATGATAGCAAAAACATGAAAATTTTATATAAATTGCTTGTGAATGGGTATGCGGAAATAAAAAAACAATATATGCAAGAAGCCTTAGGTCTCACCAACAAATTCAACTGGAAAAACTGTGCACCTTTTGGCGATTGTTACATTCTTATCAGGAGAAGGCACTACTGCATTCGGAGTAATGTGACGGGTCTGATTGAACCACCAAAGGCTTGTCTCATTAAGAACCTGAAATTACCCATACGACATCACAACAAAACACCTGATTATTGAAACAATGATTTCTCATCCTAAATGTACTCTGCTTCCAGACTTCAGTATGTGCTAGTATAATACATGTATACAGATTAAAAATAAAGAGGTAGATCCTCAATTGACAAAATTCTGGACAATACCGTGACTCTGTGAGCACACACTTGTGTTATTAATCACTTGTGACATTGAGCCATGCTGTCAAAGTATTAATTTGAGTAGACTGATTGGCGCACCTAACATTGACATTTATTTACAAAATGCACTGAACAGACTTCCCTTGAGTCCGAGGAACGATGAAACTTGAAAGCTTACACAGTTATATTTGAAAGCCTGATCAACAGTTAGAAGAACAGTTTAACGCAGCCCCACAAGCAAGCAGAGATAGACGGGCCTAGCCGTCTAGGCTGTGCGCGCATGTGGCGCGCGCCGCACGCGCCTCGTCTCCAGCCCAAGAACGTCGCCTTTGTCCGGGGCCCAACCTCTCTCTCTTCGGCCGCACGCTTTAAATCCAAGGTCATTCTGGCGTCGAGGTACCGCCACGTGAACGCCAGCTAGGATACCTTGCTGTGCACAGCTAGGCACCTCAATGCCAAGATCTGTGGCGTCGAGACGTGTTACCTCGACGCCATGAGTCCTGGCGCCGACCCCCAGGGTCTAAAAATGAGTTTAAGTCTTCCAAGGAGCCAAATGTAAATTCTGGACAATAGTCGCCTTTGTCTGGGGCCCAACCTCTCTCTCTTCACTTGGCCGCACGCTTTAAATCCGAGGTCGGCGCCAAGATCTGTGGCGCCGACCTCGGCGCTATGTATTCTGGCGCCGAGGTATCGATCACGTGAACGCCACCTAGGATGCCTTGCTGTGCATGGCCAAGCACCTCGGCGCCATGAGTCCTGGCGCCGACCCCCAGTGTCCAAAGATGAGTTTAAGTCTCCAAAGGAGAGAAATGTAAATTTTCTTAAAAAAAGGGGGGCCAAATTATAAAAAAATTAGGGCAGAGGGACGTACCTACCCCCGGTGACATCATCCGACGGCACGCAGAAATAAACACGGAAGTCATCCAATTCTTGTGTTGGCCCATACAATCGATGCGGCCCATATTCAGGAGGAAGCGCAAAACACAAGTGGGAAAGGATACGGACCCGCCGCCGCCGCCGCGCCCGTGATGGCCATCGGCCAGCTGTCGACCTCCCACGGCGCTGGAGCAGGCAAGCAGGTGCCCGTGCAAGTTCTCTCCATCGCCCTCATCCTCTACAAAGGAACCTAGTGCTCCAGGCACTCGCCGCCGCTACAGTGCCAGTGAAGATGGCCGCCGACCGGCTGCTGCTGCTCGCGGCCTACCTCGGCACTAGAGCAGGCAAGCAGGTCTATCTTTGCATCAGCAACGGCGGCTTCATGGTTCATGCTTCGACAGGCCACGGGAGGATGAGAGCTGTTGGTTGTTGCTGCAAAGCCTACAGCCCCTACATACGATGGCCATTGGACATTGGCTTTCAGATAAAGCATACAACAGCACCTTGAGAAGCTCAACTCCAAAGTTCAGGCTCAGGCTAGCAGCAGACTAGTAGTGTTGAATTGCAATTGTATAACTGATGTGAGTTGAGATCGTGGCTCAACTTCGGTTGTGATGATTGAATAATTTTTGCTAATTTGAGAGTATAGTTTAATAAGCGTGTTCGGTTGGTACGGTCTTGGATTGTTTTAGCTTATTCTCTCTCATAGAACATTATTCAATCATTTAAAATCAGCCGAGCTACAGTGCACATGTGAATTTGATACTCGCTGCTCTGATTGTTTCGATTTGAGAACTTTATATGTACCGACGCTACTAGAATGCTCATTTGCAACACAACAAAAGAACTAATGGCTTGTTTGGATGCCCATGTATTGACCTCAATCCACGTGTGTGGGAGTGGTTAACACCATCTCCACATGTACACTTGCTCGTTGATGTTGCTAACGGCGCAACTAGCGTCCGGACGTCCGGCGCGAGCACGCGTTCGGACGCCCCACGGGACCACCTATCCGATGCGAATAGAACGAGCGCGTCCCCGCGTGAGGCCTGTCCCCTGCTGCGTCGCTGTGCCTCATCGCGTCGCCATCCCCCGCCGTGCTGCCATCCCCCGCCATGCCACCATCCCTGCGCGCCCGTTACTCTCCACGTCCCATCCCCACCATGCTCCATCACTCGAATGTCCAATGAGAAATTTTTCATCGAAAGATCTATTGCAACATGGAGCAATACGAGATGCAAACATCAGAAGTATTACCTGTTTGCAACATCATAACAAGTCTACTGCATTATCAGAACAAGGCGATTGCAACAATAGAACAAAGCTACTGCAATGCGAGATGCAAGATCAGAAAAAAGAGACTAATGCAACAAAGAAATATTACTTGCTGCAACATCAGAACAAGGCTACTGCACCAACAAAACAAAGCGCAATGCGAGAAAAACAACATCAGAAAAAAGACTAATGCAACAAAGAAATATTACTTGTTGCAACATCAGAACAAGGTTACTGCAATGCGAGATGCAACATCAGAAATAAAAAAACGACTAATGCAACAAAGAAATATGACTTGTTGTAACAGCAAAACAAGGCTACTGCAATAGAGCTCACCGAAACCCTAGCCACCGCCGCGTCCCTCAGATCTAGAGAAGGAGGAGGAGGACGGCTCAGATTCAGAGGAGGAGGAGAAGCGCTCAGATCCAGAGGAGGAGGTGGAGGAGGAAGGCTCAGATCCAGAGAAGAACCGATGTACCTCATCGGAGCCGCTGCCGTCGTCCTCGTCTCCTGTGGGAGGAGCGGGAGCCATGTCACTGGGGGCACGGGGTAGTAATGGAGTCGTGGGAGGGGGAGGGATGGAGGGAGCGCTGTCCGGCGTGACTAGGCGCGGCGTCCGCCCCGGCGAGCGGGACGGCAATAGAATGGAGAGGAACGGCTGCAGGAGTGAGCGAGGAGAGGATAAGGATGAGTGCAGGAGACAACGTCTGGGAGACGGTGTGCGGCAGGGGCGGGTCGGTTTGGCATGACTTTGGGTGCTTCCGTTCCCGTTCGGACAACCGTCATATATCATTATCGTGTTGCTAAGGCTCCGTTTGAATGTTGGCAATGGAATTGGGTCAACGGAATTGTTTTTCCAAATCCATGACATGCTGAAATGGTATTGGACTACGATTCAAATTTTATGTGTTTAAATGTCTTCAAATTGGACCTTGAAAATAAGAAATTGCATCCGTACCACGTCTTCTCCTTTAGCCGGTGCCGACCTGTTGGGGTTATGATACCCTAGGTATCTCAAGACACCGATTAGTTAGCCGCTCGGGTAGCCCACGGTACACCAGCTAGTATAAGCCCAAACGATCGAGGCCCAGCTAAGCTATGTGGACCTAGGCCGAACACAAAAGCAGGGGTTAGCCACGACCTTTTCCCTCTGCCTTCACCACACGCCACGAAACTCCTCACCACCTCTCCTCCATCCCGACCTCTAAGAGGAACGGGGAGAGATCGAGCCCCGTCAAGCATGCCTGCTATGACAAAGAGCAGGCACGCCGCACTGATGAAAGGTCCTAATGGCTAGAGAGGGTGAATAGCCTATTAAAAATTCTACAACAACACTTAAGCCAAGTGGTTAGACAATTATGAAGCGAAGCGAGTGTTGCGCTAGCCTATTCAAAATGCAAAGCCTCCTATCTACAATTCTAGTTGCTATGATCTCTATTCCACACAAGAGGCTAAGTCACTACCACTAAGTTAGTGAGCTCTCAAAGATTAACTAAAGAGCCTCACTAACCAAACTAGACATGACACAAGCTAGCTCTCAAAACTAGTTACACTAAAGAGCTTAGCTACACTAAGAAAGTAAATGCATAAGAGAGATAGTGAGTTATACTGCCGTGGCAAGAGATGATCAATCAATCACAATGAATACCAAATGAATTCCTCGAAGACAAGATGACACAAAGATTTTTCACCGAGGTTCACTTGCTTACCGGCAAGCTAGTCCTCGTTGTGGCGATTCACCCACTTGGAGGTTCACGCGCTAATAGGCATCACACGCCTAACCCACAATCGGGTGCCGCACAACCAACACAAGATGGGGATCACATAAGCCACGTGCAGTCCACTAGAGTACCTTTTGGCTCTCCACCGGGGAAAGGTCAAGAACCCCTCCCAGCTAGAGATAATCACCTTCCTCCGCTCGACGATCCTCGCTGCACTAAGCCATCTAGGTGGCGGCAACCACCAAGAGAAACAAGCGAATCCCACAGCGAAACACAATCACCAAGTGCCTCTAGATGCAATCACTCAAAGCAATGCACTTGGATGCTCTCCAATCTCACCAAATGATGAACCAATCAAGTTGGATGAGTGCGAAAGGAGAGGCTAGGCTCACTAGGGTGTAATCTCAATAGAAATGACCAATAGGGTAAGCCCAAGCCGGCCACACACCTTTTATAGAGCTCCCAACGAAATAGAGACATTGGCCCCCTGTCAGTGCTGAAATCGAGGCGACCAGACACGCCGGTCAAAGTGGCCGGACGCATGCTCACCAGCATCCGGTCGCTGGATCTCTACCATGCGTCCCCCGATTGAACCTATGCCGTTCATCCCCAACGACTAGTTAGCCACACGTGTGTCACTTAAGCGATGACCAGACGCAGCAGACGCTGATCGGATGCGGCCACCCAACGTCTGATCCCGCGTGCGCCCACGCCTACCAACGCCAAGACCAGACGCACCGCGCTACCACCTGACGCTGTGCCACATGGAGTCAGGTCGACTCTAGAAAGCATCCAGAGAGGAAAAATCACGACCGTCAGTGTATGTCACCACGACCGGACGTAGGGCCAATCATAAGACTGAGACTGCGCCTCACTACGCTGATGACCGGACACACCCAATGTAGGGCCTGGTCACTACGTGACCAGAGTCCAGTCACTGGAAAACTCCTCCTTTCCAACTTGTTTCACTTCACCCTTGCTTAAATGTGCTAACCACCAAGTATATCACCTTGTGCACGTGTGTTAGCTTATTTTCACAAATATTTTCAAGGGTGTTAGCACTCACTCTAATCTAAATGCATATGCAATGAGTTAGAACATCTAGTCTCACTTTGATAACCGCATTTTACGATGAGTTTCACCCCTATTAATAGTATGGCTATATATCCTAAATATGATCACACTCACTAAGTGTGTTGATCACCAAAACAAAAGAGCTCCTATAAAATATACCTTTGCCTTGAGTTTTTTGTTTTTCTCTTTCTTCTTTTCCAAGTCTAGAGCTTGATCATCACCATGGCCATCACCACCATCATGATCTTCATTCATTTGCTTCACCACTTGGAATGGTACTATCCTATCTCATGATCACTTAGAGCAAAGGATTAGTACCTAGGGTTTCATCAATTAACCAAAACCAAACTAGAGCTTTCAACTGACCCTGCAAGGACCGAGGGGACAACCGTCCCCTCTACCCGGTCAGACGCCATCCCTACGCCACGCAGCGTAGGCAAGACAATACCGTCAAACGGTGACGGCAAGTACGGTGACCCACCGTCCAAATATGGCCTGACAAGACAGATGTACGATCCCACCCACTACGGGATGGGACCACAACAGCGGCCTTGACTTTTGAGGCCATCTAAGCCAATGAAGGCCATGACCCCGGAACTCAGGATCGAGGCCACCGGCTCCACAAAAGCAGCAAGACAATCAACGACCAGGGGGCGGCACCAACTCCTGTACGACACCCCCAGGAGATCAGGACGCAAGGAGGAAGGCCACGATGAGACCATGTAGCGCAGGACGGCTGGCGAAACACCACCATGCCCACAATGCCGCCACGACCGACATAATAGCACCACGCCACTCTATGCCGCGACGTGGGCACAAGACCATGATGACAACCACGCCCGGACATGCACTACACTAAGACAAGATGTCGTTACTTGCAAGCCAAGTTAGCTAGGTTCCCTCCCTCAGGCTCATGACCCCTCAGTCGGGAGAACCTCCTCTTTTTTGTATGTGACCTGGCCCCGAACTCTATATAAGGGCAACCAGGACACCCTACCAGGGACATGGGACTCCCGAAGCTCTCATTTGGGCAGTCCATCCTCTAGCTCTAGCTCCACTCTCCTACCTCTTCCACCATGAAAGGATCAAGATGCCCAAGAGGGGGGGTGAATTGGGCTAATTCTAAATTTCTTTGCAATAATTAAATCCTATGGTT